TCAGCTCACTGCAACCTCTGCCTCCCGGGTTCAAGCGATTCTCCTGCCTCAGCCTCCCGAGCAGCTAGAATTGCAGGCGCCGGCCACCACACCCAGCCCCAAAGTGGTCTTTTTAAAAAATTTTTTGTTTAAATTTTTTGTAGAGATGGGGGTGGCACTGTGTTGCCCAGACTGGTCTTGAACTCCTGGGCTCAAGTGATCCTCCCTAAGTTTTGAGATTACAGGCATGATTCACTGTGCCCAGTCCAAAGAGATCTTTATAAAGTACAAATATGATCTTGTCACTCCTTTTCATAAAACTCATCAGTCACACTGCATTGCTTTCAGGACAAGGTTTAAACTCCTTAAATAGTGGGATTATAAACTCTTCTTGTGGCACTTTCATATCTCTTCTTTTATACCCCTGGGGTACTTTATACTCCATGCTTAGTAAATTACCTACTATGTCATCTGAACATGCCAGGATTTCTTGTAGGCCCTTTGTACCATATGCTGTTTCTTAGGCACGGCCTTCCTTTCCTCTTCCTTTCTTTTTTTTTTTGGAACGCAGTCTCGCTGTGTCACCCATGCTGGAGTGCAATGGTGTGACTGCAGCCTCTGCTTCCTGGGTTTAAGTGATTCTCAGGCCTCAGCCTCCTGAGATGCTGGGATTACAGACGCACACCACCTTGCCCATCTCGGCCTCCCAAAGTGTTGGGATTGCAGGTGTCAGCCACCACCCTGGCTATCCCTGTCTTTCTTCCTTACCTTCTCATAAATTCTGTTTTCTTTCCATAAGATTCCTTGCAACTCCTTTCCTTCCACTTCTTTTCTTTTCTTTTTGAGACGAAATCTCTCATTGTCACCCAGGCTGGAGTGCACTGGGGTGATCTCGGCTCACTGCAACCTCTGCCTCCCAGGATGAAGCGATTCTTGTGCCTCAGCCTCTGGAGTAACTGGGATTACAGGTGCCTGCCACTACGCCTGGCTATTATTTTTTATTTTTATAGTAATAGAGACGGGGTTTTACCATGTTGTCTAGGATGGTTTCAAACTCGTGACCTCAAGTGATCCCCCGGCCTCGGCCTCCTAAAGTGCTAGGTTTATAGGTGTGAGCCACTGCGCCCAGCCCTTTTCCTCAACTTCGATCATAGCTCCTATCATAATAAAGTTGTTCATCTACTTCCTCAAAGCAAACCTTTTACCCATTTGGTACTTAAAGGAAAGGATCTTTAGGTATAACCTAGGTACTCAATATATTCATCATATATTGCTGATATAAAGATTTGTTTACACTGTTTTTAGTTGAGGCTATTAAGACAGCTGGTTTAAAGTAAAGGGCATTTCAATGTGTAAAGATTTTAAGTGCTATTGGGCCCTTAGTGATCCGTTAGCCTTAGGCTCTGTAGTACTACACATGGCTTGAAACGTTTATTAATGAATTGTACCAAATATTACTTTTTTCTTATAATATTGTGGAATAATCATGTTTTAGCTCCTACAAGTGCTGGGAAGACTCTTGTGGCAGAATTACTTATTTTGAAGCGGGTTTTGGAAATGCGGAAGAAAGCTTTGTTTATTCTTCCCTTTGTTTCTGTGGCTAAAGAGAAGAAATACTACCTCCAGGTAATGTTTTTTACTAAGTTAGAAATAGTGAAAGGCTCATTATTGGCAGCCTTGGTTTCATTCATTTGAAATAGAATTATGAAAGTAAGTGGAAAACAAAGTTTCTTTATTGCATCCCATGTAGCTTTAAGAGGTGACTGCTGAAAGCATTAAAAATTTGCAGCAGGGGGCCAGGTGTGGTGGTTCACGCCTGTAATCCCAGCACTTTGGGAGACTGAGGTGAGCGGGTCACCTGAGGTCAGGAGATCGAGACCAGCCTGGCCAACATGGTGAAACCCCATCTCTACTAAAAATACAAAAATTAGCTGGGCGTGGTGGTGCACACCTGTAATCCCAGCTACTCGGGAGGCTGAGGTGAGAGAATTACTTGAACCTGGGAGGCAGAGGTTACAGTAAGCCGAGATCGCGCTATTGCACTCCAGCCTGGGCAACAGAGTGAGGCTCTGTCTCAAAAAAAAAAAAAAAAAAAAAATTAAAAAAAAATCACAGAAGGAAATTTAAAAAAAATTATTATTAAGGAGAAGGGGCCATCAAATCAAAAGAATAATTGGTGAGAATTGTGTAAAAATTTGTAAACCTTTTCTTAGGAAATAAACAAAATACTTAAACTAGCATATAAACATGCACGTTAAGAATCAGCATTTAATTGAACAGTTGGACTAGACTGAAGCATAGAAAGGAAAGAGTGTTTAAGGAAGCATATCCTGCTCTAACTGAGGTCTATTTAGGAATATTTAGGGGATGAAGGTCAAGATCCATTGGTGCTTATGTAAAGCTCCAGGTATGTGATCTGTTCCTCTGTTCTGCAAAAATGACTAACAGTAGTTTACATCAATATGATGCTCACAGTTTTTAGGGCATTTTCACAAATACAGTGTTTTATTAAATGGAATAAATTTACTGTTGTGATTTCTGCAGTGAAAAATATGTGCTTTTGGAATGGAAAGATCATTATACGGATTGTTAAAGAAATGTGGGTTCTAATCCCAGTTTTGTGACTAACTATGTCTTTAGGCCAGACATGTAACCTGTTGGGCCTCAGTTTTTTTATTTGTAAAATTAGGATGTTAACCCTTAGCACTGTGGGTTAACTCAGTAAACACTCAGGAAAATTTTATTGAATGAATAGCTCTAAATTTCTGTGGTTCTATAAATCTTTTTAACAGTTATTTCAGAGGCACAATAGCCAACAAAGCTGATCCTACATGGTAACATCACTCAACTTAGACCCAAAGTAACAAAATGATGAAAGGATCCTTTTTATTGAAAGGTATGTTAGTTAAAAGTTAAACTAAAAAAAAAAAAATTATTATAAAAATCCCACTGAATTTGACTTTTAAAAGCTTTTCTTCCAATTACATTAAAAAATTGGTCATTAGGATAATGAGACTATTTTCCTCATAAAGTATAAATTTGTTTCTTAAAGTGTTATAACTAGTTTCTTGCTGTTTATTAGATTAAAAATGTTAGTGCTTGAGGTAGTTTTTCTCCAATTTTAATTCCTATAAATAGCTCTTAGAACTTTTTAGATTATTATGCTGTCATTAAAATTGCATAATTTTATTTGACTCTTAACAGAAATCTAAGTTTTGTCAGTTCTAAACTTTGTATTTTTAGTATATGATCTAAAAAGAACCAGTGTGTCCTGGCCAGAAACAACTGATGACAGTAATCTGGTAGATGTCTTTAGATAGTTATGTCTATGTTCTGGGATAGAACCAGTTTATAACTCTTGAATTTCAAGTTTTTTCACCTGTATTGTTCCTTTTTGCTCAATTCAGAGTCTGTTTCAGGAAGTAGGAATAAAAGTAGATGGTTATATGGGCAGCACCTCTCCGTCAAGGCATTTCTCTTCATTGGATATTGCAGTCTGCACAATTGAGAGAGCCAATGGTCTGATCAATCGCCTCATAGAGGAAAATAAGATGGATCTGTTAGGTAAGAAAGTTAGAAAATAAGTAAATACTTTCTGTTGCTATTTTTGATGGAATGAAGTGGAGCTGTTGTGATTTCTGTAGGTCCCATTTATTTTTCTATTGTCTATTGTCTACTTCTGGAGGCGAGAATTGGCATCTGTAATGTTAGGAATGCTGTGTTTATAAGTTTTGTGTCCTGCTGCTGTTATTGATGCCATTATGTTGCATTTTTGTACTTTACAGAATGTAGAGGATATCCTTAAGCCCTTAATAACTTCTCCTTGCTTCTTTCTTATCTAAACTTTACCAGAAATAGAAGGAAGGCTGCTGGGCCAGATCTGCCATTTTGCAGTTAGTGTGTATGTGTTTTTGTTACTATATTCTGCTGCTATGATGTCTATTTTGGGCTTGGACCTAGAGTCTACCATTTAGCATGGAAATGGTAGGAAGCTAAAGAAACTGACACTCTATTTGAGCTTGGGATTCTGGGAAGATTTTCTATCTTAATGCATTTTTTTTTGCCATTATGGAAAGGCCATTATGTAGAGGTAGCAACAGGCATAGAAGGATTTCAGCAGCAGAAGTAGCAAGAATATCAGCTACTTATTGAGAATGTGGTACACTTAAAAATACCATGGTAAAGTTATGGTAGGGTAGGGGTGGAGGGTGGGAATCAGACATGGGCTATGCTCCATAAAGCTTGGAGAGAGAAATTGCAATTGATTTGTATCAGAATTGTCTTATTACTTGTGACCCCACTGGACTTTAAATATTTGAGAGTTGCAATAGACTCCTAGTATGTGCTATTTCTGATGTACCTAGCACAGTGCCTGGCACATGGTAGGCAGAATACTTTTTTTTTTTTTGAATGAATGAATAAGTGCTAAAATAACTCATTAGACAGTACAATTTTGGAGATAGCTTATTGATAGGAAAAAGAACATCATGTGTCATTAGGAAGTTCCCTATTGTCTCCTCAAATTCCTTTTCACCGGAAAGTTGTTTTTTGGTGGGGAGAATTTGGGATGGGGAGAATACCAGTGCATGTGGAAACTATGTTGTTATGAAAATGTTTAACTAAAGAAAGTATTGGTTGATACTGAATTTTCAGTAATTCTTAAGAATTTTTCCAAGTATATACATTGGTTAAATTCTCCAAGTAGTGAAGGACATTGTGATCATATTTATGTTTTGCAGTATGGTGACTCACTAGCCTACCATATTAAAAATCTCTTAAAATTGTCTTTTTCTTTTGGACCCTCTTCTGTTTTTTTCTAAGCTACTTTCCAACATGAGTATATACGTTTTCCCATTGAAAAGTCAATACACTGAAAACTGACATAGATGTCTTTGATATTTCATTGTATGTTTATTTCAGTGAAGTTGCCAGTTTAGAAGAGTGATGAGAGGCAGTTTTCCCTGGGTTTGTTTAGCCCTGAGTAAGCTAATAATTGATTTTTAGATCCAGTATACCTTGTAATACAGCTGCCTGTAATACCCGAAACATCTTGGAAAAGAATTGCCCATTATAAGGAATATGATTTTTGGTTTATGGTTTGAAATTTGCATTACTTGCAATGTATTATATCTTATATCAATGTGTGATATAAGATATTGAGTCTTTTAAATTTCTTCTTGTCACAGTCATAAAAAGAGTAAAATCATGTCCTTTGTAGCAAAGCCACATGGATGCAGCTGGAGCCATTATCCTAAGCCAATTAATGCAGGAACAGAAAACCAAGTACCACATGTTCTCACTTGTAAGTGGGAATTAAACTTTGAGTACTCATGGATGTAAAGATGGCAACAACAGAAACTGGGGACTACTAGAAGGGAACAAGGGTTGAAAAACTGATAATAAGGTACTATTGCTAAGTACCTGGGTGATGGGATCATTTGTACTCCAAACCTCAGCATTACGCAATATACCCAGGTAACAAACCTGCACATGTACCCCCTGAATCCAATATAAAAGTTGATATAAAGGAAATAAAATAGAGTGAAATAAAAGTTGGAAAAAAATTCTTCGTGGATGTGAGATTCTGTAAAAACCTAGCATCTGGAAAATCTTTTTAGGAATGGTGGTTGTGGATGAATTACATATGCTGGGAGACTCTCACCGAGGGTATCTGCTGGAACTTTTGCTGACCAAGATTTGCTATATTACTCGGAAATCAGCATCTTGGTGAGTACGTGAAATAACTGAGTTCCTGAGATTTCAAACAGTGTTGAGAAAGTGTCTGAAAAAGTGCATAAGTATGAGTTAAATAAATTAAGGGAGTGTAATATTTTTCTTATTGAGAAAACTCATGTATAGTAGTTTGTTTTTGTTCCAGAAGAAGTCAGTCCAGGCATAGTGGCTGACACCTGTAATCCCAGCACTTTGGAAGGCTGAGATGGGAGGATCACTTGAGCCTGAGTTCCAGACCAGCCTGGGCAACACAGTGAGACCCCATTTCTATAAATGATAAAAAATTAGCTGGGCATAGTGGCACAAGCCTGTAATCCCAGCTTCTCAGGAGACTGAGGCAGGAGGATTACTTGAGCCCAAGAGTTCCAGGCTGCAATGAGGTATGATTGTGCCTCTTTACTCCAGCCTGGGCTACAGAACAAGACCATATCTCTAACAACAACCTGAAAAGTATTTCAGGTTGAAACTGATTTCAGATTACTTTGTAAACATTCTTAATTTTCTGACTGCTCACCCTTCCAATGTATACATTTTTATTATAGATTTTAAAAAATCTAGTTTCTGTATTTTATTATAGATTTTAAAAAATCTATTTCTGTATTCTGTACTATATGTATAAGTAGTCAGGCTAATTTTGAAAAATAATATTTTTTTAGCCCTCACTTCTCAGAGGCTACTTCAACCTTTCAACTCTTGTAGCTTTTTAAAAATATTTACAGCAGCATCTCTACTTGTGGCTACTTAATTTTTTAAATTTCAGACCTTATATATTGACTTTTACTATGAAAGATGAAGATCTAGCTTTCTTTTAAATTCTTTACTAACCACTACCCAATCTTCTCCCTTCTCTGCAGTCTCTCCTTATCCTCTCATTATCTTCCTCTTCTTCAAATATAGTTATGTTACGATTTTGCTTGGATCATTATTACGCTATTATGACTATATAAATAACATTGGTAACTGGGCTATAGTGTAATATGATTACTTTTGCTTTTCTAAACAACTTTTTGTCTTCTCTGAAATTAATAACTGTCTTTTTTGTTTGATGGCTTGGTTTTCCAGAAACTTACTGCTAATTTATCCCTAGCCTCCTCCCCAGCTGTGTATTCTACCACATTTGCTATTCTGCCAGTCATCTTCTTCAAGATTTTCCTAAAGCCCTTCAAGTTGTTCCAGTCTAGATAGGTGGTTAATCTATATATATGCTACATAGCAGCTATCTTGGGATTCCCTTCCCCCAACCAGTTTTTTGACCATGTATCTGTCTTGATTTACCTTCTTGTTTTGGTGGGAATATCTTCCAGGAACTTCTACTTTATTTCAGTGAACACATATAGGTATAAATTTTTTGAGAACTTGCATGTCTGAAAATGCCTCATAATTCTTTCTTTCTTTCTTTTTTTTTTTTTTTTGAGATGGGGTTCTGCTCTTTTGCCCAGGCTGGAGTGAAGTGGTGTGATCTCGGCTTACTGCAACCTTCACCTCCCAGGTTCAAGCGATTCTCCTGCCTCAGCCTCCCGAGTACCTGGGATTATAGGCACCTGCCATCAGACCCAGCTAATTTTTGTATTTTTAGTAGAGACAGTGTTTCACCATGTTGGCCAGGCTGGTCTCGATTGCCTGACCTCAGGTGACCTACCCACCTCAGCCTCCCAAAGTGCTAGGTTGATAGGCATGAGTCACCATACCCAGTCTCAATAATTATGGACTGTCCAGGTATAAAAGTCAAGATTGGAAATACTTTTCCTTCAGAGTTGTCAAGGCATTACTTCATTTTCTCATTGCTATTGAGAAATTCAGTGCTGTGCTGGTTTTTCATCCTTTGTATACAATTTTTTAAATTCTGTCTGGGAATTTTTAGTCGCTCCTCTTTTTCCACAGTGCTGTGAAATTTCATACTGATGTGTGTTGGTGTTGGTCTATTTTTAGTCATTGTGCTGGGTATTCAATAGGTTCTTTTCAGTTAAGGGAGAATTGAACACATCTCTCTTGTGATAGAACAAGCAGATAACCATCTCTATCCCAAATCACTAGGGATATAGAAAATATGATTAATATAATCAGCAAATTTGACCTAATGGATATATATTGAACAATTACCTCAAAACAGCAGAATACATATTCATTTGAGTTACACATGGAATATTTATTAAAAAGTTTCCATATGCTGGACCATAAAGCAAGTCTTAACATATTTTAATGAATTCATATCATTTATTTTCTAACAGCAGTGAAATTAGCTATAAGAAAAGCATAACTAGAAAATGTCTACTTTACTGGAAATAAACACAATTTTGACATTTTTTAGATCAAAAAAGTAATCACAACAGAAATTAGAAAATAGTTTGAACTGAAAGTATAATAAAAATATTTACTAACAAAACTTGTGAAGGGCAGCAAAAGTTGTTTTTAAAAGGAAATTGATAGCATAAAACACATATATTATAAGGAAGAGAGACTGAGAATCAATTATTTAATGATCCATCCCAATAACTTAGAAAAAAGGCCAGGCCTGGTGGCTTATGCCTGTAATCCCAGCACTTTGGGAGGCCGAGGCAGGCAGATCACTTGAGGCCAGTTCTAGACGAGCCTGCCCAACATGACAAAACCCTGTTTCTACTGAAAATACAAAATCTGGCTGGGCGTCTTGATGCACACCTGCAATCCCAGCTACTCAGGTGGCATAAGAATCACTTGAACCCTGGAGGTAGAGGTTGCCATGAGCCGAGATTGTGCCTTTGCACTCCTGCTGACAGAGCTAGACCCTGTCTAGAGAAAAAAAAGTAAAATAATGCAACAGAAAGCTTGATAAAATAATAAAAACAGAGCAAAAAATGGAAGAGGAAAGTCACTATCCAGACATTTAAAAGTTCTACAAATGAATAAGAAAAACACAACCCACTATATCAATGGACAAAAAAACAGGCTTTTGAAACAGGGTATTGGCTGGGCACGGTGGCTCACGCCTGTAATCCCAGCAGTTTGGGAGGCTGAGGCGGGCGGATCACGAGGTCAGGAGATTGAGACCATCCTGGCTAACATGGTGAAAACCCGTCTCTACTAAAAATACAAAAAAATTAGCCAGGTGTGGTGGTGGGTGCCTGTAGTCCCAGCTACTCGGGAAGCTGAGGCAGGAGAATGGCATGAACCCAGGAGGCGGAGCTTGTAGTGAGTGGGCGACAGAGTGAGACTCTGTTTCTAACAACAACAACCACCACCACCACCACCACCAGGGTATCCACGTGGTTCATACACATGAAGTGATGCTCAGTCTCACTGGTTATCAGGGAACTGTAAATTACTTCTTCAAAGAAATACTGGCCAGGCGCGGTGGCTCCTGCCTGTAATCCCAGCACTCTGGGAGCCTGAGGTGGGCGGATCATGAGGTCAGTTCGAGACCAGCCTGGCCAACACAGTGAAACGCTGTCTCTACTAAACATACAAAAATTAGCTGGGTGTAGTAGTACGCACCTGTAGTCCCAGCTACTTGGGCGGCTGAGGCAGGAGAATCGCTTGAACCTGGGAGGCAGAGGTTGCAGTGAGCTGAGACAGGTCCATTGTACTCTAGCCTGGGTGACAGAGCAAGACCCTGTCTAAAAAAAAAGAAATACTACCACGTACCCTCTATAACTGCTAACATATTATAAAGATTGACAATACCGAGTGGTGACAAGATTATGGAACAATAGAAAACACAGATTGTGGAGGTGTTACCTTGGAAAACAATGTGGGATTATCTAAATTGAAGATAATCTGTGACTCAATCTGTGGCTCAGTAATTTTATTCTTAGGTATATATCCTAAAGAAATGTATGCATGTGTGTACCAAAGGACATAACCATAAATATTGTTAGCAACACTAAATATTAATGCATTTTTTATCTTTTAATATTCTTTTCATTTTTTTTTAATAGTCAGGCAGATTTAGCCAGTTCTCTGTCTAATGCTGTGCAGATTGTTGGCATGAGTGCTACCCTTCCTAATTTGGAGCTTGTGGCTTCCTGGTTGAATGCTGAATACTACCATACCGACTTTCGCCCTGTACCACTTTTGGAGTCAGTAAAAGTTGGAAATTCCATATATGACTCTTCAATGAAACTTGTGAGGGAATTTGAACCTATGCTACAAGTGAAGGTAAATAAATATATTTACATCACTACTATTAGTATCTGTGTGTTTGATTTCATTTTCTAGCAAATTAACAATTTCTGAATGATGTAATTGGGAGTTACATATACATTAGGATTAATATTAAGCTAATTGGTTTCCTCTTAAAGAATTGGTGGTGAGCTGGGGGTGGTGGCTGACGTCTGTAAATCCCAACACGTTGGGAGGCCCAGGCAGGTGGATCACTTGAGGTCAGGAGTTTGAGACCATCCTGGCCAACATGGTGAAACCCTGTCGCTACTAAAAATACAAAAATTAGCTGGGCGTGGTGGTGGGTGCCTGTAATCCCAGCTGCTTGGGAGGCTGAGGCAGGAGAATTGCTTGAACATGGTAGGTAGAGGCTGCAGTGAGCCGAGATCATGCCACTACACTCCAGCCTGGGCAACAGAGTGAGACTCTGTCCCTGCCAAAAAAAAATATTGATGGTGATGGTAAGAGAGGAAATGTAGTTGTACCTTTAATTTAAATAATTGTTTCCTAATATATAATATAAACATTAAAAAAAAAATAACTGATCTTGTGGCTTTTTCTTTTTACTGGGAAAATATTTTCTTATGGTTTAGTTTACACTGTTAGTATGGAAGATTAACTTTTTTGTTAAATGGTAGGTATAATATATAGTAGAGTGAAAAGAATATTATTTTTGTAGTCTGATAGATCTACCTCTGATACTTAATAGAGATACTTGATATGGCTGAGATAGTAGTTGAATCACAAAACCTATCTGAATCTCATATCTTCACCTATTAAATAGGATATTATAATCCTTATCTTGAATATTGTAAGAATTAAATATGATTTAAAAAAATTGTCTGGCATCTAGAAAGTGCGTGATAAATAAGTACCCTCCCATACTCCCAAATACACTTTAATCCTGAGGTTAAAGAACTAACTCATGTACATTGGTGGAGTGAGGCATCTGCTGTTTTTATGCAGAGTTGTCCTTCTGAGTACTAACATAGCTAAGCGTCATTTTAGAATTGGGAATAGGACTAAATTTATGTGTTTCACTAGCTATCTAGGTACGCATTTGTAACTTCTGCATGCTTGGTGTGGAATCTTTGCTCTGTGCCCCATATTTCACCTGGCTATGCCTTGGTTACTTCAATACATTTATGTGTGAACACATTCATTTGCTTTCCTGTTAATTTGTTTTCTTCTTTTACCATGTCTGTGCCTCTACCCTTTTGAACCACCTATACTTCTTACCTGGATTATTGAAATATTTCCTAATTGTTCTCTCTGCTTCTGACCTTGTCTCTTTCAGTCTATGCTTACATCAGGAGCTAGTGATCTATTTAAAATGAACATCAGATCATGTTATCCTTCTTCTTGGAAACTTGCAGTGGCTTTGTTTCATTTAGAATAAAAGCCAGTGTCTTCATAGTAGTCTGTAAGGTCCTACATGATCTATACCCCCCGCCCCTCTTAGTGCTCTGGCTCTATCTGCTATGTTCCCTCTCACTTCCTTCACACTAGCCTCTGCTGTTTTTTAATATACCATGAATTTCCCGCCTCAGATTCTCTTTTTCTAGAATGCTTTCCCCTTAGGGGCATCAGTGTGATCAGTGTGGTTTACTCTTTCACCTTTGGACTTTTACTCAAATGTCACTGTCTTAGACCTTCCCTGGCCAACTTATCTAAATTATAATGTTCTCCCTCAAATGGTCTCTATTTCTTTTCCCTTAGCACTTTTCAAAACCAAACATATTATGTGTTTTTTGTTTTTGTTTTTGTTTTTGAGATGGAGTTTTGCTCTTGTTGCTCAGGCTGGAGTGCAATGGTGTGATCTCAGCTCACCGCAACCTCCGCCTCCCAGGTTCAAGCGATTCTTCTGCCTCAGCCTCCCTACTAGTTGGGATTACAGGCATGCGCCACCACGCCCAGCTAATTTTGTATTTTCAGTAGAGATGGGGCTTCTCCATGTAGGTCAGGCTGGTGTCGAGCTCCCGACCTCAGGCCTCGGCTTCCCAAAGTGCTGGGATTACAGGAGTGAGCCACTGTGCCCGGCCCTTATGTGTTTTACTTACCTCGTTTTTGTTATTATCTATCTCTTCCTACTGGAGTAGAAACGTTATGAGGGTAGAGCTTTTTTTCTGCTTTGTTCGCAGCTCCATCCCCAGTACCTAGAACAATATTTGATATATAGTAAATATTCGTTTAATGAGTGAATAAATGGATGCATTAATCTAGTTTTTAATACATACATTGAGATACTTCCAGTATGGAGAACTTGCAGAGCCACCACAGGGTATTCACATGTGCCCTTTTGTTTGTTTGAAATGTGTTACCTTTAATTGAGATAATGTTTCCCCACCTTCACATCTCAGCTAAATTGCTTTCTCAGGACAATTTTTCTTTCAGATCTTTCTGTCAAATATGAGACCTCAAAACACTGTAAAACTCTCTTTTAATGGTATATATTATTATTGTATTTCATATTTATTTTGTACAGATGCTCTTAGACTTATGATGGGGTTGTATCCTGATAAACTCATTGTAAGTTGAAAATGCATTTAATACATTTAACCTACTGAATATCATAGCTTAGCCTAGCCTACCTTAAATGTTCTCCAGAACATTTACATTAGCCTGTAGTTGGGCAAAATCATCTAGCACAAAGCCTGTTTTATAATAAAGTCTTGAATATTTTATAATTTAATGAATACTGTGCTGAGAGTGAAAAATAGAAGAGTTGTATGGGCACCCAAAGTATGGTTTCTATTGAATGCATACTGCTTTTGCACCATTGTAAAATAAAAAAAATCGTAAAGTCCAACCATTTTAAGTTGGGGACATCTGTATTTTAATGTATCTCTTGGTGAGACTATAAACCCCTTGACTATTAGGATCTTGACTTTCTTTTTACTCAATATTGTATTCCCATTGCCTGAGGGTTGGAGCTCAATAAATATTAGTTGAATGAATAGTATTTCTTGCACCTTTCATCATTAGGAGTTTATTTTTTCTTCTTTTTTTCCCTTTCTTTTGTTATTGACTTTGTAACTGATTTTTATTATGCCTTCAAGAAGAAAAAGCTTCCCCAGAAAGGAAAATGAGTGCTTTTAAACTGATGTGAGAATCTTTTGAAAGTACCACTAAAGTGGTTATTTATCTTTCTTTTTTAGGGAGATGAGGACCATGTTGTTAGTTTATGTTATGAGACGATTCGTGATAACCATTCAGTATTACTTTTTTGTCCATCAAAGACATGGTGTGAGAAGCTGGCAGATATCATTGCTCGAGAGTTTTATAATCTACATCATCAAACTGAGGGTGAGTTATGGATGGAAAGGAAAGCCTTCATGCTTAGTACATTTGCTTGAAAGTAACAGTAGTGATTATATTAGCAAAAACATGGCTTTTGTTAATCATTGCCACTGCCTGCCCACTAGGTGGTACCCTTTTTACCAAACTGTGCTTTTGTGATTCTAGTCATATTCCTTCCCTAGTATAGACTATGTATATACACACACGCTTAGACTAATCAGCTTTAGATTTTTAGAATACTGGGTATATGCTACAGTTCTTTATCAGGGATCCATGGGCTTTAAGAGTTTGATCTTCGGAGCCCCTAAACTGGATGCAAAACTTCACGTGTAGACATTTCTTTGGGGAAAGTAACCATATCTTCTTTATGTTTCCAAAGGAAAGTGTAACTCTGAAAAAAATCATACACAGATGTGTATATATGTATAAGTTGACCTTTGAACGACATGGGTTTGAATTGTGTGCGTTCATTTATATGTGGATTTTTGTCAATACATAATATATTAGAAAATGTTTTGGCGATTTGTGTTAATTTGAAGAAACTGACAAGCTGTGTAGCCTAGAAACATGAAAACATTAAAGAACAAAAAGAAGATATGTCATGTAGCCTAAAACATATGTAGATACTAGTCTATTTTATCACATACTACCTTAAAATATACACAAATCGATTATTTATTTATTTATTTATTATTTTTTGAGACAGAGTCTCGTACCCGTCGCTTAGGCTGAAATGCAATGGCACGATCTCGGCTCACTGCAACTTCTGCCTCCTGGGTTCAAGTGATTCTCCCGTCTCAGCCTCCCCGGTAGCTGGAATTACAGGCACCTGCCATCATGCCCTGCTAATTTTTGTAGAGACAGGGTTTCACCATGTTAGCCAGGATGGTCTTGAACTCCTGATCTCAAGTGATCCACCTGCCTCGGCCTCCCAAAGTGCTGGGTTTACAGGCGTAAGCCACTGTGCCCGGCCCAAATCTTTTATTAAAAATTAAAATTTCTGCCAGGCACGGTGGCTCACACCTGTAATCCCAGCACTTTGAGAGGCTGAGGAGGGTGGATCACCTGAGGTCAGGAGTTCGAGACCAGCCTGGCTAACATAGTGAAACCCTGTTTCTACTAAAAATGCAAAAAATTAGCTGGGTGTGGTGGTGCACACCTGTAATCCCAGCTACTCAGGAGGCTGAGGTGGGAGAATCACTTGAACCCAGGAGGCGGAAGTTGCAGTGAGCCGAGATCGCGCCATTGCACTCCAGCATGGGCAACAAGAGCGAAACTCCATCTCAAAAAAAAAAAGAAAAAAATTAAAATTTCCAGCCCAGCCCACATGGTGAAACCCCATCTCTACTAAATACAAAAATTAGCTGGGTGTGATGGTGGTCACCTGTAATCCTAGCTACATGGGAGGCTGAGGCAGGAGAATCACTTGAACCTGGGAGGTGGAGGTTGCAGTAAGCCGAGATCACGCCGCTTTACTCTAGCCTGGATGACAGAGTGAGACCCTCTCTCGAATAAATAAATAAATAAATAAATAAATAAATATTTATCAAAACTTATGCACATAGACACAGATGCCATTCACAGTCAAGAGGAGTGTAAACAAATGTAAAGAGGCAGTGTTAAATCATAACTGCATAAAATTAACTGTAATATATACTGTACTACTGTAATAATTTTATAGCCACCTCCTGCTGCTGTTGCAGTAAGCTCATGTATTGTGAGTATCCACTTAAAATATGTGATGCTTATCATCTTCATATGAGCAGTTTGTGTCTCTCATAATTTGCATATTGCAGTAAAAAGTAATTTATCATGTTTCTCATGTACTTTTCATCATATTTAGTGCAGTATTGTAAACCTTGAATAATACCATGGAACCAATCTGAAGTGCCACTAGTGATGCTGGAAGTGTTCCCAAGAAGCAGAGAAAAGTTGTGGCATTCTATGAAAAAATTGAATTGCTTGCTATGTACCATAAATTGAGGTCTGCAGATGCATTTATTATTTTAAGATAAATGAATTGAGCTCAAGTACTATTGTAAAAAAAGAAGGAAATTTATGAAGCTATTGCTGCAGCTTTGCACATTTTGTGAAATACTTTGTCATCTGATTTTGAAAATGCAGTTTTATGTGGCTGCAGGATCACTATATGAAAGGCACACCTGCCGGGTGAGGTGGCTTACGTCGATAATCCCAGCACTTTGGAAGGCCAAGGCAGGAGGATCACTTGTGTCCAGGAGTTCAAGACCAGCATGGGCTACATAGTGAGACCTTATCTCTACAAAAGTTAAAAAGTTAGGCCGGGCACGGTGGTTCACGCCTGTAATCCCAGCACTTTGCGAGGATGAAGTGGGCGGATCACCTGAGGTCAGGAGTTTGAGACCAGCCTGGACAACATAGTGAAACCCCATCTCCACTAAAAAATATAAAAATTAGCCAGGCGTTTTGGTGCATGCCTATAGTCCCAGCCACTTGGGAGGCTGAGGCAGGAGAATTGCTTGAACCTGGGAGGAAGAGGTTGCAGTGAGCCGAGATCATGCCAGTGCACTCCAGCCTGGGCGACAGAGCGAGACTCTATCTCAAAAAAAAAAAAAAAAAAGGAAAAAAGAAGCCAGGTGGGGGGGGGTTTGCCTATAGATCCAGCTACTTGGGAGGCTGAGGTAGGAGGATTGTTTGAACCTGGGAGGTAAAGGGTGCAGTCAGCCATGATCATGCCATTGTGCTCAGCTCAGTCTGGGTGGCAGAGTGAGACCCTGTCGCCACAGATGCACACACACACACACATGCACATGTGCACGCGCGCACACACACACACAAAAGAAACGCATACCTATAGACTACTATGATTTGGGAAAAAGTGAAATCCATATGGCAACTTAAAGCAAAGGGATCTAAAGCTGGAGAATTTAATGCCAGCAAAAGATGGTTGGATAGTTTTAGAGGTTTATATGTGGATTTTTTCCAATACATAATGGAAAATTTTTTGGTGATTTGTATTAATTTGAAAAAGTGTCAAGATAACAGGAGATGCAAGACCAAGAGGCTGCAGATGAGTTCCAAGATACCATTAAGAAAATTATTGCAGAGAAAGGATATCTGCCTGAACAGATTTTTAATGCAGATGAAAGTGCCCTATTCTGGGGGGGCGGAAAATGCCACAAAGAACCCATTTATCAGTAAGGAAGAGAAGAAAGCACCAGGATTTAAAACAGGAAGGGATAGGCTAACTCTTGTTTTGTGCAAATGCAGTTGGGTTTATGATCAGGACTACTCATGTCTATAAAACAGCTAATCCCCAAGCCTTAGAGGGAATAGATAAACACTGGTTGCCAGTCTTTTGGTTGTACAAGAAGGACTGGAGAGTGAGAACCCTTTCTCTGGATTGGTTTCATTGATGCTTTGTCTCTGAAGTCAGGAAATACATTGCCAGTAAAGGACTGCCTTTTAACTTTCTTTTGATATTGAACAATGCCCCGGGCCATCCAGAACCTCTTGAGTTCAACAGTTAAGGCATCAAAGTGATCTACTTACCCCCAAACACAGCATCTCTAATTTAGTCTCTAGATCAAGGGGTCATTAGGACGTTTAAAGCTCATTATGCATTAAAGCTCATTATGCACGGTACTCTACGGAAAGGACTGTCAACATTATGGAAGAGAACCCCGATAGAACATTGTGAAAGTCTTGAAGGATTATTTCATTGAAGATGCCATTGTTGTTATAGGGAAAGCTGTGAAAGCCAGCATGCCCAAAATGATAAATTCCTGCTGGAGAAAACTGTCCACATATTGCACATGACTTCACGTAGGATTTATGACAGAGCCAATGAATGAAATCATGAAAGAGATTGTGAAAATGGCAAAAAAAATGGTGGAGGTAAATGGTTTCAAGATAAGGATCTTGGAGAAATTTAAGAGCTAGTAGACACCATACCAGAGGAATTAACAGAAGATGACTTGAATAAAATGAGTGCTTCCAAACAAGTGCCAGATGATGAGTAAGAAGACAGAAGAAGCAGTGCCAGAAAACAAGTTAACATTAGACAGTTTGGCAGAAGGATTCCAATTATACAAGACTGCTTCTGACTTTTTTTATGGCACGGACCCTCCTATGATATAGGCACTGAAACGACAGCAAATGGTGAAAGGATTGGTACCGTATATAAACATTTTTAGATAATAAAAAAGCAAAAACAGGCAGAAATTACGATGTATTTACGTAAAGTTACACCAAGTGTGCCTGCCTCTACTGCCACCACTTCTGCCTCTGCCACCCCGAGACAGCAAGACGAACCCCTCCTCTTTCTCCTTCTTCAGCCTACTCAAGGTAAAGATGATGAAGATGAAGACCTTTATGATGATTTATTACTGAATAGTAAATGTATTTTCTCTTTCTTGTTTTCTTTTTTTGTTGTTGTTGTTGTTGTTTTCTGAGACGGGGTCTCGCTCAGTCGCCCAGGCTGGAGTGCAGTGGCGCGATCTCGGCTCACTGCAAGCTTCGCCTCCCGGGTTCACGCCATTCTCCTGCCTCAGCCTCCCGAGTAGCTGGAACTATAGGCGCCCAACGCCACACCCAGATAATTTTTTGTATTTTTAGTAGAGAGGGGTTTCACCGTGTTAGCCAGGATGGTCTCTATCTCCTGACCTTGTGATCCGCCTGCCTCGGCCTCCCGAAGTACTGGGATTACAGGCGTGAGCCACCGCCTATTAGTAGTTAAGTTTTGGAGAAGTCCAGTTGTGTGCAGATTTTTGACTGGGGGTTTCTTTGTTTCTAACTCCTGTGTTGTTTAACAGTCAACTTGTGTGTGTGTGTGTGTGTATTTATACACATATATACACACACACGTATATACAAATCTATTTTAAAATCAGCTTTGAGGTATTATTTATAAGAAAATGTACCAATTTTGTATATATATGATAAATTTTAACAAATGTATACATCTGTTTAACCATACTATATTCAACAGCTAGAACATTTTCATTACCCTAAAATATTCTTTTTTCTTTTGCTGTCTCTTCCCTCTATCCCAGACTTAGGCAACTGTTGATCTCTGTTTGCTATCACTTTAGATTACTTGTGCTTTTCTAAAAATTTCACGTAAATGAAGTCATACAGTATGTATGTGTCTTTTGTATCTAGCTTCTTTCACTCAGCCTGGTGTGGTTGATGTTCACCCAGGTTGTTAATTTATCCGTTTGTTTCTTTTTTGTTGCCAAATGGTGATCTAGTATATACCAATGGCTATAATCATTAGTATATATTTTTACTGATTCTAGAGTGAACACTGTTGCCTCACTATTTTTACTAGTCTGTGGTGCTTTGGAGTCCAAGATAAATATAAGGAAGACAGGGACCAGTTCTAGTCACAGAATATTAGATATTTTATTTATTAATTACTTATACCAGTGGCATCATGAAGATAAGTGATGAAAATCTCAAGCCTAGCTCTAACAAGTAAACTTTGCTTGAAGTTTATATTGGCTAGGCTGTTGTCTAACAGTGTATTATCTCTTCCAGTTTCCCCTTTATTGGTACTTTCTATACTAGGTTAGCTTATTTCCTTACATTTTACCATGGCCATTTATAATCCTTAATAACCAGAATCATCATCATTTTCTTTTCTCGAGATTTTGTCATCTTGGTTTGCAGCAGTGGTTCCCAAATGCTAGTGCTTGGACTGGAGCCTGGTCTATGATGAGATTTTTATCAGAAAAATAAAGACAAGGCAGCATATTATTTATAAAGCTGCAGTTTACATTCTGAAATTATTCCTAGTCAGTTTTTAATGTTAAATGTCTCCTTTGAAATAAAAATATTGATAGATAAGGTTTTAAAAAATTAATTGCCCTCAGCAAAATAAAACATTGGCAACTTTCTGTGAGTTCTTAAAATTTTAAGAAAAGTTTTCCTAAAAATTTAAAAATGTATGAAATATAAGATATATATTTAAATATATATATTTTTTATTATTTTCAAGTGACACATAATAATTCTAGAACACACATTTATTTATTTTCTTTTTCTTTTTTTTGTGAGACAGGATCTTGCTCTGTTGTCCAGGATGGAATGCAGTGGCATGATCTCAGCTCACTGTAATCTCTACCTCATGGGCTCAGGTGATCCTCCCACTTTAGCCTCCCAAGTAGCTGGGGCTATAGGTGCATGCCACCATGCCTGGCTAATTTTTTTGTATTTTTTTTTAGAGATGGGATTTTGCCACATTTCCCAGGCTGGTCTCACATTCTTGGATTCAAGTGGTCTGCCCACTTTGGCCTCCCAAAGTTCCGGGATTACAGGTGTCAGCCACCATGCCCAGGCATATAATTACTTTTTATGAAAAGTTTTGCAAGTTCAAAAATCCAGAAGTCTGGACAATTTTTAAAGACAACATATAAGTACCTAAAGCTTTTACTGCATATAAGAAAGTTAAGGCTGGGTGGTGGCTCATGCCTGTAATCTCAGCACTTTTGGAAGCCAAGGTGGGAGAATTGCTTAAGCCCAGAAGTTTCAGACCAGCCTGGGCAACATAGGGAGACCCTATCTCTACAACTGAAAAAAAAAATACTAGCTGGGCATAGTGGCACATGTGTCTGGTCCTAACTAACCAGGAGACTGAGGTGGGAGGATTGCTTGAGCCCAGGAGGTTGAGGCTGCCATGAGCAGTGATTGTGCCACTGTACTCCAGCCTGGGTGACAGAGTGAGACCCTGTCTCAAAAAAAACATTAAGCTCTTACTGGGGGAGAAGACAAAAAAACAGAGGGTGGTATGTAATTAACTACCAGATTAATGCCAAAGAGACAAGAATAATTTAACAGAGAAGTAGGCTTTTTTTGTGACAGGATTGGAGAAACCCTCTGATGTTGCTACTGCTGGTTGGTGGTACACACCTTGAGCAAGGGTTTTGATTTTGGGGCTTTGAGTGGTAATCAGTATCTGTAATACTCTACTTCCCCAGCAGGTTCCTTTGATCCCCTCCTGTGGGCCTGGTCTTACCCTTATACAGTTTCCTAAACTTTGGCGCACATTGGAATTGCCTGGGGAGATTTAAAAATTCTTCATGTCCAGGTCACACCCCACACCAGTTATATAACGATGTCCAGGATTAAGAATCAGGCATCAGTATTCTTAAAAGATTTCCAGGGGATTGTAGTATGCAGCAGTTTCAGAACCATTCCTCTGCTATTTAGTTCTAGTATGATTTAGACAGATACCACTTAAAGAAGCTGGAGCTAGAAGCAAATGGTGTTGGTAATTTTTTTGTGACAGGATTGGTGAAACCCTCTGAATGCCCACCAGTAAATCTAGAACAAAAAGAACTCCTGGAAGTGATGGATCAGTTAAGACGTTTGCCTTCAGGACTGGACTCTGTATTACAGAAAACTGTACCATGGGGAGTAGCATTTCATCATGCAGGTATTTCATATTTATAATCTGTTATTAAGAAACCTCCAAAATTCCTCGTACTGTCTTAACTTTTATATTTGTGTAAATTTATTTCTTGTTAAACACACTTAATATCCTTAGATTTCTTTTTAAGAAATTGTATGGGCTGGGCGTGGTGGCTCACTCCTGTAATCCCAGCACTTTGGGAGGCCAAAGCAAGTGGATCACCTGAGGTCAGGAGTTCAAGACCAGCCTGGCCAACATGGCGAAACCCCATCTCTACTAAAAATACAAAAATCAGCTGGCGCTGTGGCACGCACCTGTAATTCCAGCTTCTTGGGAGGCTGAGGCTGGCAGAATTGCTTGAACCCAGGAGGTGGAGGTTACAGTGAGCCGAGATCGTGCCACTGTATTCCAGCCTGGGTGACAGAGTGAAATTGTGTGATAGATTAAACAAGAGTAAAACAAATATGTTTCAATTTACTTATTTGTCTATAGTAGTCTCCCCTTGTTCACTGAAGCTATGTTCCAAGACCCCCAGTGGATATCTGAAACCATGCATAGTACCAGCCCCACATATATGATGTTTTTTCATAGCATGTTAAAACTTTTAAATGCATTTGAAATGTGTGTGTGTGTGTGAGGGGGTATATATATTTATATATATGGTATATAGTAGTCTTTCTTTGTAGAGAATATGTTCCAAGATCCTCAGTGGATGCCTGAAACCACAGATAGTACCAAACCCTCTATATACTATGTTCTTTCCTATATAGTGACAGTATATAGTGCAGGTAGTGTATATAGCATGGATACACTGAATAAAGGGATAATTCATGTCCTGGGTGGTAGGGCATGCAATGTAAAACTTATGAGTTTCTTATTTCTGGAATTTTCCTCTTTATATTTTTGACTTTGGGTAACTAAAACTGTGGAAAGCAATACCACAGATGGGGGAAACTACTATATATACACACACACAAAATTTACATTGTATGTAATTTATGATGCATACTAAAAAAAGTGAACACCTGTGTACCCACCACTTAATTTTAAAATTAGAACCCCAGACCTTTAAATTTTTAAATAAAATTGAAAATGAGCCAGATAAGTATATATTCTATATACTGTTTTTCATTTACTCATGTTTTTATTCATCACGTATTTATGTCAGAAGTATATCTGACCAATGTGATGCATAGGCCCTGAAGATATCTTGATGAATAAGGCATATCGCTATCCACAAGGAGTTTATTATCTGGAACAGTGATTAGCAAGTTATAGTCTGCTGGTCAAGTCTAGCCTACCATCTGTTTTTGTAAATAAAGTTTTATTGGAACACAGTCATGCCCATTTGTTCTGTTGCTGCTTTCATGTCACAGTGGCAGGGTCGAATAGTTACAGCAGAGACCTGCTATTCCACAGG